ACTGACCCCAGTGTGTAGTGCTCCCCTCCCTGTGTCCATGTGTTCTCATTGTTCAACACCCGCCTATGAGTGAGAACATGCGGTGTTTGATCTTCTGCTGTCCTGTCAGTTTGCTGAGAATGATGGTTGAATCAATTCAACTTCTTACATCAGAAAAGTTAATGACTCAAAAATAATTGAAGTTAGAGCCTTATTTCATACTATTCCCAAAATAAATTTTTATTTTATTAATAAAATAAATAAAAATTTAAATTTTTATTTTATTAACTTACAAGCATGTGTAAGTTATCACTCAACTGCTCTCTGGAATAGGAATTAATATCAAAACATAAAAGCCATAGAAAAAAATTGCAAAGGAAAAGATAGATAGGTTTGACCACATAGGATTTTAAAGTCTCTGCATATTCTCCTCCAAAATAAAATAAAATAAAATATAAACGTTAAATTGAAAAAAATGCAATAAGTGGTAAATATACCTAATATACAGCAAGCTTTGCAGATCAATAGGAAGAACACAATTATCTCAATATAAAAATGAGCATGGTACACATTTTTCATGGTCTAATAGACACATAACCTCTCTGATATAGGACATTTGCGTCTTAAATATTCTCATCGCCATTACATTTTAAGTGTAAACTTTTCTTCCGGCAAAGACCACCCACCTGATGCCTTGTGAGGCACTGTTCCCAGCAGAGGGACATTGACGGTTGGATCTGCCATGATGCCTTTATCCAGGGAGCGCAAGGAAAGGAATTCATAGAAGTATTCTTCCTACAAAGAAAGGCACTGACAGTTAGTACCACAGAAACCACAGAGAGGGAAAAGCCACCACTTAATTCATGCTCCATCTGATAGGGCAGAGATAATTTTCATTACAGAAACTTGGAGCACGTGGCATCCAAGATACTGTGTAGGCACAAGTATTAGATTCTGTTTGGAGAGAAGTAATCCCTAAAAACTTTAAAAACAGCCATGAAAGGTAATTCTTTTTTTTTTTTTTTTTTTTTTTTTTTAAGATAGAGTCTTGCTTTTTTGCCAGGCTGTAGTGCAGTGATGCAATCTCAGCTCACTGCAACCTCTGCCTCCCTGGTTCAAGTGATTCTCTTGCCACAGCCTCCTGAGTAGTTGGAATTATAGGTGTGTACCATCACACCTGGCTAATTTTTGTATTTTTAGTAGAGACGGGTTTTTACCATGCTGGTGGGGCTTGTCTCAAACTCCTGACCTCAAGTGATCCACCTACCTTGGCCTACCAAAGTGTTGGGGTTAGAGGATTTAGCTACCATGCCTAGCCGGTAATCTTTTAACTTAAATGATATTCTTTAATTGCTGTCTCTTTAAAAGATTGAGAAAAAAAAATTCTCTTAGTGATGTCAAACCAGTCATTGACTAGAATTCATCTCAACTATTTTAGTCATTCTTTAATACTCTAAATTCTGAAGTGAGTCCTTTGATCAGAATTTGGAGAATTGTAATAAAGTTCCAAATTTCATGATCCTGTTGTTAACATTTACTTTTCACTCTCACTCCCTTTGAAAGGTTTATATTTAATGTCTCAATTTAATTATGGAGAGAAAAGCCAAGGAATTCAAAAACCACCATAACAATAAGACAACAAACCATATACCTTTACATTGTAAACATTTTCATTTTCTCACTAAGTCTAGTTGAGAAAATGATTCCTGCTACTCAGATGGCCATGAATACTGAAAGTAATGATGAATAATCTCACCATAGAGCTTTAATGCTTAATGGATTCCCAATTGGGTTATTAAAAGGGTTTGTGAAGGCCGGGCACAGTGGCTCACACCTGTAATCCCGTCACTTTGGGAGGCTGAGGTGGGTGGATCACTTGAGGTCAGGAGTTCCAGACCAGCCTGACCAAAATGGTGAAACCCTGTCTCTACTAAAAATACAAAAATTATCTGGGCATGGTGGCAGGTACCTGTAGTCCCAGCTACTTGGGAGGCTGAGGCAGGAAAATTGCTTGAACTTGGGAGGTGGAGGTTGCAGTGAGCTGAGATCATGCCACTGCACTCCAGCCTGGGGGGTGACAGTGAGACTCTGCATAAAAAAAAAAAAGTGGAGGGGGGACAGTTTGTGAAGGTAACAATATGTTCTTGCTTAGAAATAAAGAACAATCAATAAATGGCACCAATGCTAACATGAGAGTTAGGCAAGTTGAGTGGTTCTGCAATTACCTGTAGTAACATCCAGAATTACATCAGCTTAATGTTATTAATTACATTAATATGTGCTAGAAGGAGGTTAAAAAAGAATATTGCACCCTACATGCAATATAAATATATATATATATATATTATATATATATATTATATTGCACCCTACATGAAATATAAAATATAGTTTACAACATGGAAGATATTAAGAGACACATGGCAGACATTCAAACAATTTGCTGCTTTAAATCCCAGTATCACATGTAGTAGGCTTTAAGGACTTTATATGAGGATACTAATGCCAAGGGGTAGTCTCAGATGCTGTGGGGACTTGTCTATACTTGAAGTGAATTGAGAAACACTTCCTGGTTTCACTAGGCTGAAAGGAGCACCTTCCTGGAACAAATTCCCACTGCATCCCCTCCTGTGAGTTGTGGCTGAGGTTCCAGAAGATCACTGTGAACAGCTCCTTAGTGGGGTAACAGTGTTGTGTAAATTAATTTATTAAATTGATTCACTAGGATAACCCTGAGAATAAAGAGTCATAAGACAGGTAATTCTTACCCTGTTTAAGGGAAAGTAGAGGTTTAAAAGAAGTCTCATGAAAGGAGTGTTGTCATGAAAGGTAATTCAATTTGGAATGAGTTCCTTTGAAAGAGAGAACAGTATTTCTGTCCCTGCAGGGAAACCAATGACTATTAAAAGTGGATTGGTTTTCATGAATCCAGGTGGTTTTAATGACTTCTGCCAGCTGTGCTTCCATCTACACTTTGCTAGATAATATGTATCATTTAACATATTGTTCTAAGACATATTTTAGTTGGCACTGTGAAAGGATTTAGTGACAGATGCCTTTATAATGAATAACATTTGAATTATTTATATTACCTAAGTACAGTAACAACAACACAATAAACATGAGTGTAATACACACCATGTGCCAAAACACTAAACACTTTATCAACAGGGTATATCCTGATGGAAGAGAACTGAATGGATAGAAAGTAAAAACTTTGAAATGAAAAGGTCAATTACCATATAAGTTATCATTTGCTATCCTATAGTTATATCTTTGAGTTTTGTCACATTATAAATTATTCCTATGTGTGATATTTAAAAATTACATTTGTAAAACTATAATATTTTAACAAAAATATAATATTTTAATTTAAAAAATAAACTTTTAGTTAAGAAAAACTAGATAAGATTAAAACAATGATTGTGTAGAATTGATGTTTTTTTATTTTCTCTCTTTTTCAGATTTTCTATATGTGAATTTATATCTTTTAGTGAAATAAGAGCATTTATTTAAAAACAGGCATTAATCATGTACCCTCCTTTCAGTTCTGTGGCTGATGATTCTATTTGCGTAATTCTCTGATCATAGATAAAATATTCTTCTTGAACATCTATTTAACATGACTGTGTTTACGCAACAATTTTATTTAAATCTCTTCCATGTCTCCTTGAAAGTGTGCTTCAAGGAAACAGCAATCAGCATAAAAAAGCTTCTGATTGTCTCTTTCTTTCAAAAAGTTTTGATGATGTTCAAAAAACGTGGAACTGAAAAAATTTCATTCAGAGGCCAGAAACATAACTTCACAGAGCCTTCACGTATGGCCACAGAAGGTAGGCTGAAAAGCATGGAATATGTTATACTCAGCATCAGAGAGTTGATAATGAGCAGTGGCATGACTGCTCCACATGATGCAGCTAGGCTTAATAGATTTCTCTGGACAGCCAATACTCTGATCTAATCGATAACAAACTTTACACAAATGTGTCCCTTTTGTTTCTTTGAGAATCAGCAAACGTTTGTCTTATTCTAATAAGACTGGATAAGGCAGGAACTGGTGAAAAGCTTCTTTCTTGGATGTTATCAGCAAAAGGCAGTTACCAGAGTAAATCGTTTTCTTTCTTGTTGAGGATGATAATGATGCTTGAATCTCTGAAACATATAATTTCCATTATACTTGGTATATTTCTTACAAAAAGATTTTGTCTGTGGTTTTCATTGCCTCTTTAAAAATGCTAACTTTACAGTGGGAAGTTTTAAGATAAAAAAAAAAAAAGAAAAGAGAAAAAAGAAAAATAAAATTTTAACTTGAAAACGATTTAGTTAGGTTTTCAAGTTAAAAACTGACTGAACTTTTGTCTCTGATGTTGACACTAACTTCTTTCAAAGTTTTACTTTGCCACTGTAAAGAAATCTAAAACCATCAATACTGTAAAATATTTCTACAAATATAGTATCATCATGAACTATAGAGTAAATAGATCCTTCATTTAACTTAAGGGCTTAAATTAAAAGCCATAAGAAATGGCTGATGAACAATATATTTATGCCATACTCTAACTTCTAGACAGGACTTTCTGTTTTTACTTTATTTATAATAAATCTTCTTAGACTCAAATCTCTCCATTGGAAAAACTTATTTGAGAGCAAATAAAATCTAAATTCTATGCCAAAGAGAACAGAGAACTAGCTTAAAAGTTTGGGAACAATTTCCACAAATTGCAGATTTATTATTTAGATAAAAGGAACTCAGAGCCTGAACTGGTATACTGGAGAGTCTAAAACCTCTATTAGGAAAAAGTATATTTGGTTCTATTAAATGACACTAGAGAAAACTCAGGTAGAGGCAAACAGGGTGATTATTTGGGAAACACATGAAAAGCTTGCTTTGTATTCAAGCAAATAATGGGTCTATTCAGGAGAATAATTCACTGGCCTGGTTTGCCATGCAGTAAATTTTCTTTTCATGGAGAAGCATAAAAGACACCCAAATATTATCAAGAGAGGAGTGCTGGAGGTCATTTAACTTGCTTCCAATCAACTTGGCTGAATATGTCCTTCTAGAACAGATGAAGAAATCATATAAACAATGCAAAATGGGACAACTTGTAAGGCCTTTGCTCTGGCACTCCTTTTGGGGTAGGCATAGAAAAGGAGCAGAGAATTGCATTAACTATTGAGAAGAATGAAGAGAATCCAGTATTTCTCTTCTGCCTTTGAAGTTCTATGTTTATGGTGTGTACTTAATCTAATAAGCACAATAATTGCAGGAGCCTCTGAGTTAAGAATCAAAGGTTGTTCATAAAACCAAGGACTTCAAACCTCTTTTAACCCATATATCATGATGCTGACCTAAGTGCTCATGGAAGAACATTAAAACAATAAAGGTATCATCTTTGTTCTAAAGAAGATTTCAGGCATTTTTAGATACAAAACACACAGAAGCTGTAGGGTTTGAAAATTTTCAAGTAATTTTTGTTGAACATTTATTATACTGCAGTCACTGTTCATTTAATTCTCACAACAGCCTATTATTAAGTGAATTCAGATTAGTAAAGTACTGGGTATTAGGTACTAAAGAGATATAAAATAGCTCTCACACTATATGTGAAGGGCTGGAAAAAAATCTAAAATAAACAAGAAAGGAAAATAGTTCAATGTTAAAGACCCAAACAAAACAAATAAGCATGATCAATGCTTAAAATAATCTGAATGTCTAGAGCAAAATTTGGCAGATCTCACATTCTTCTTGTTACCTCTCTGTAAAATTTTATCCTTCAAACTCAAAGCTCATT